AGTTTGAAAGCACGTCAAAATGCAAATAGATAAATAGGGACCACTCCGGCGGGAAGGTAAACAGCGTTTCCGTGCGCTGCTCTGGTTCGCCAGAAGCAGCTTAGTCATGCTGGCCACATGACCCGGAAGCTGTCTGCAGACAAACGCCGGCTCCCTTGGCCTATAGAGCGAGATGAGCGCGCAACCCCAGAGTCGGTCACAACTGGACCTAATGGTCAGGGGTCCCTTTACCTTTACCTTTACCCAAGACTGGGAGCTGCTACCCCTACTTTTTAGATCACGATATCCTACATTTCTGTCAAGGACCTTGAGGTGGCATACATGGCAAATGTAAAGATAAAGGGACCCCTGACCATTAGGTCCAGTCACAGATGACTCTGGGGTTGCAGTGCTCATCTCACTTTACCGGCCGAGGGAGCCGGCGTACAGCTTCCGGGTCATGTGGCCAGCATGACGAAGCCGCTTCTGGCAAACCAGAGCAGCACACAGAAATGCTGTTTACCTTCCCGCTGGAGCAGTACGTATTTAACTGCTTGTACTTTTTGCTTTCGAACTGCTAGGTTGGCAGGAGCAGGGACTGAGCAACGGAAGCTCACCCTGTTGTGGGGATTTGAATCGCCAACCTTCTGATCAGCAAGCCACTGGCATACATGATACTCCTCCCCATTTATTCCCACAATAAATGAGGCTGAGGTCACCCAGTGAGCTTGGTGACTGAGTGCATTTTTGAACTCTGGTTTCACAGGTCGTAGTCCAAAACTGGATCCAGGAAGAAGAGTTCCTGGAACTCCAGGAAGGGTGAAGTTGTCTCAGGTTGATGTGCACCTTTCTTATTTCTTTCAGGTGGATTTCCAGCTTACTATTGCATGTCCTCTGATTTGTCTAAAACACTGCTTCTCAATCTTTTAAACCCATGCCTCCTTTTGCTAACATAAGCCCCACTCTTCAAACCTGGCTCCCCAGATTACTTCATCTGAATTTTCAAATGGATTGACTTTAATTTTATTCACCTTGGTTCTCAAATGCCTTGGTACTCAAACAGCTTGGAACCCAAACACTGCAGACCCAGAAGTAAGTGTTTCGGTTTGCGAACTGTTTTCAGAAGCCAAACGTGCTCTGCTTTTGAGCGCAAAACTTCCATTTTGAGTCTGTTTTTGCTATTTATTTTGCCTTTTTGTTTTAGCAGCTCTTTTTTTTTTACCGTGGAACCCAGTTCAGCTACTGATTGATTGATTGACTGACTGATTGATTGATTGATTGTGTGACTGTGGTTTATTGCTTTCATTTTATGGATCAATGGTCCCGTTAGATAGTAAAATTCATGTTAAATTACTGTTTTAGGGGTAGTTTTTAAAAGTCTGGAATCGATTAATCCATTTTGCATTACTTTCTGTGGGAAAGCGCACCTTGGTTTTGGAATGCTTTGGTTTTGGAACGGACCTTCAGAACAGATTAAGTTTGAGAACCAAGGTACCACTGTACTTATACTTTCTGGAAGGAACACTCACCCCCTGCAAGATTTTCGTATGCCCTCTCTCTGGGCTTAGCTTCCCCCTTGGTTCACAAACACTGCTCTAAAAATACGATGATCAAAGCAGGCAAAGTGGTTGTCGTGGTTTGGTTATAGTACTAAACTCATTGCAAAACATTCTATTGAAAATTCAAGTGTGAGTTTGTCAGCAAAACACAAAACCATTTTTTTTTTAAAAAAAAAACACAACAGCAGTAATTTCTAACTAATACTCTGTGTAGATATAAAGTGATATAGGTCAGGGCTTTGCACTTAGAATTACAGAGTCTACTGATTGCTAATTCATTTCTAGGGAACAAAACGATTTGCAAAGCGTATACATTGTTAATCGGTCAAGGCAAGCCTCATTATTATTTTTTCTTTTCTTTTTTTGAAGTACTGTAATAATGGGCATAGCTCCCTCATCTGATTCAGAAGGGGGTGTTAAAGTGGATTCCGTTGGAGAGTATTTGCTTGATGCCCTAAATTTAATCCAGCTCAGATAACTCTATATTAAATTGTGGCCCTGTGTACTCCCAGGTATGTCATTGAGAGTGGGATGAGATGCAGAAGCTTCCGTGACTCCTCCTTTGCGTGGCAAGGTCCCAAACCCACCCGGGAAGTGGAATAAAAACACATGAAGCAGTATTTTAGGTTAATGGGTGAAAAAAAGCCACAGCTTTATTGGTTACAGAATGTGAGTGGTATTGGCTTAGGCATTGGAAACCACACAACTATATCTGACTCCTGCCCATCTGCAGGAGTCTTGGAAGGGTTAACCACCAGTAGGGGGAGCCCTGCTGATGCACATCAACTAGGAACTCCCCCAGGGTCACTGCTAGGGGTCGTGCCACGACACCCCCCCCCCGGTCTGGGGCTTCAGACAGAGACCATGCCCCCCAGATTCCTTTAGCGGAATACCCTTGAATTAGGAGGGGTAGGTGATGGCCACTACCTCCCCTCCCCTTCGACCAAATACTCCAATACCTAACTGCCAAACCTTACAAAGTTGTGACAATTTGCTATGAGGTAGGTGAAAAACCAAATGGCTGGTGCCAATTTGCCAAGTGGAAAAAATTCCTACCAGGCCCCTTGGACAACCAAGGTGACCAACCAAGGTCCTTAGCAAGGTCAAGAAATAAAGAGCCTAACCTAAGGGAGGGACGGCGGGAGAACTGACCGAGCAGGGAGAAAACAGGGGTGAGTCCTCAGCCACGGACAGTTTAAAAAGCCCGTGTCACACCCCCGGACCATCCGGGTTGGACGGCCTAAGGATGATGTGGCCAAGGACCAACCAATGGCGCAGGGGCTATCCCATCCCATGCACGTGGGGAGGGCTTGCTCCCAGCCTTCAACATCATCTCCCCAGGAAGGATAAATGGCTTTACCATCAGAAGGGAGAGTCGTAGAGTTGTACAGTTGGAAGGGACCCTGAGGATCATCTAGTCCAACCTCCTTATAAGGCAAGAACATGCAGCTGTTCCATATGGGGTTCAAACCTTCAACATTGGGGAAAACAAAAGACGAGCTTGTCAAAGCCTCTATGACACATTGGGCAATAGATATAGGACATAATATAGATTTTAATCTCTGGGGAAAACTTTGGAAGAGTGATCTGAAGTTTACAGAATGTCCTTCCTCGAAGGAGAACTACCCGAAAATGATGTACCAATGGTATTTAACTCCGAGTAGACTTACTTAGATGTATAAGACTGAATTAGATAAGTGCTGGAGATGCAATGTGGCTGAGGGTACATTCTTTCATATGTGGTAGACCTGTAAAAGGGTAAAAGGGTATTGGGAAATAATTCATAATAAATTTCAAAAATGTTTAAACGTATACTTTTCCAAAAAACAAACAACAACAACAAAAAACCCAGAGTCCTTTTTGTTGGGGATAATTCAGACGGAAATTCCCAGGCGTCAAAAAAGGTTATTTATGTATGCCACTACTGCAGCTCGTGTTTTGTTAGCCGCAAAATGGAAAACAAGCAAGGTCCCAACCAAAGAAGAATGGTGACTTAAACTGATGGAATATGAGCAGCTTGCAGACGTAACATATAGAATAAGAGAACAAAAAGAACATACATTTAAAGATTGGAAAATGTTTATTGAATATATGAGGGGAAACTATGTACACTTGAAAATGTTGGCAGCATTAAGATAAATTCAATAGTGTAAATAAGTTTTGATGGATGTAATAATGGAGATATTAATCAATAATAAAAGGAGAAGGGAAGTCGTTGATATTTTAATTTTGGTTAAATGAATATTCTAAAATGTAAAACAGAAAATTCATATATATGAACCTGCAACCTTGGCATTATCAGCACCACACTCTACCCAGCTGGGCTATGCAAGTTCAAATATAACCAAAGTTACGGAAGGGTGCAGAGGGATGTGGGCTTTTAGGGAGGGCTCCTGGGTGGGCATGGATTTAGGTTCATCCATTAATGTCATATCATAATCACGTAGAACCTATCTATAGTCCAACAAGAAGTTCAACAATAGGCAGCTGTCAAAGGTTTGTTTGACCACTAAGTCTGACTTTAACAAAGATAGTTGCATTTTAGGGATTCTAATATCATTGTGAGCTAGTGTTGCCAAAGAAGTTAACGGACAGGAGAGCACAGATTGGAGTTCCAATTTGACAATTTCCTAACAAATATTTTAGGAACAAGTAAAGACATGTCTTTGGGATGCAGCGCTTGACCCTGTATATCCAATATGGCAAAAAACAAAGGCCACCTTCCATTTCATCAGTCCTTCCATTTACATTGGCTTTGTATCCTGCGTTGGATTTTGCTGGAACTTTGCATCCCAGAAACTCTCTCTCTTAGAAAGTTTGCTTCTTGTCATGTTGTATTTCTTCCGATGCATATGATGTCCTCTTTTGCCATTTAAAGCACCCTGGGGAACTAGTATTCCACCATTTCTGTGGTTTCGAAAACGGCCTTTGCATTAGCCTTTAAGTGCCTCTTGGTAACAAGATTAATAAAACACTGGGTTACTTGTAAGTCAAATCAGGTGGAAAACATTTCAAGTAAAGACTGCAGTATTTAATATGTAAGTGCCAATGGTGCAGATCCCCTAGTCTACATGATGAATGTTCTCAACGACCTTAAATACAAAAGTTAAAGGTAAGGGTAGTTGGTGAGGGGCAGAGGAAAACACGTTTATCTGCACAATTCATTTTTCCCGAGCATTTCATGCTGAATATATTTTACAAAGCTCTGATTAGGTGACAGTTTCTAGATAACCTTTATACTTGCCACATCAGCTGTTTGTTTTATGCTTGGGGGAGCTAACCAATTTGCTGTAAGATTTTACAGCTATTCTGCCAGGAACAATGTGAAATCTAATGCAAACAAAGGGAACATTTTTAGCTTGCAATTATATATCTGTAACTGTATTGCACTCTCTCTCTCTCTCTCTCTCTCTCTCTCTCTCTCTCTCTCTCTCTCTTTCTCTCTTGCTGTTTCCTTTTCAGATTTTGGATATGCCCAGACGAGAGATGAGCTGGTATAAACAGCTTGGCTTCACGTTCCACTGAAGAATATCTAGAGCTCAGTTGAAGGCAAAGTGTCCAACTTGCAGCCAAAGGCACTTGAGAAGACAGTCAGCAGAGGAGAACCATGATAATACAACAAGGTTTGCTGGTGGTACTACTCTGGGTGTGCCTGCTCCACCCCTGCTTAACAGCAATGGTATTCAGCAGGACTACGGACCAGCAGCCCAAAAGTTTTGCTGCACGTGGAATAGGGAATGAAGGAAAAGCTCTGCACCGCCAGAAGCGAGGCTGGATGTGGAACCAGTTCTTCTTGCTGGAGGAATATACTGGCTCAGATAACCAATATGTAGGCAAGGTAGGCCATATGTATATCTTCTCCTATTCTTCTTATGCATTGCAGCGATTTAATGGTAGGAAATTATCTTTGAGGACTTCATTCTCAAATATATAGAGACCTTTTGTTTGTTCTGTTGAAAAAATAAAACCAAAAGCTTTGGAAATGGGAGTATTGGATTGAAACACCCATGATCTAATGTGGATCAATAATTGTGTGATTTTTGACTTTCTGAATTTTTTTATTTGAATTTTGTATACAAAAAAGCAGCATTTTTGAGTTATGTCTTAACTTTTATACTTTGTACACCTTCCTCTGGGACACAAATTATCCTTCATATTCCAACATTGACTCTTCCTCTGATGAAAAAGGTGACCCTTGCTAACAAACCTGTTCAGAATTTTTGTTTTAACATGAAGTGAAAAACTGGATTAGTAATTTCATGAGTGAAAGAGTTTTATGTTCAGTTGAAGCATAGGTTTAAAAAAGGACAAAGCCTTATTCTCAAGTACTTTTGCCTGGTTTGAAAGAAAATTGCAGCTCTAGTGTAGTAGTATAGTTTTCCAAGTATGTTTTATAGGACCCTATCCTAAGTATCATTTATGTATCACAAAATCTGGCTGCAGTAGGTGGCCATTTCAGTGATTTAATACCTGTAGCCAAACTGCATGTGACCTAGATTTATTAAATCTTCCTCAAATGTGAAAAGTTTGTGTAGCAGCTGACACCATCCCTACCACTCCATTATGACAACACCCATACACTAGGAAAGCCCTGGTGGGGGTTCCTTGGAAAATTAGTTACCCAGACTTTCATAAATGGTGTCTATCGATTACCCTGCAATGAACAGGCCACAAACAAATACATGGTATGCTGTAGGGTTCATTCTTAATCAAATCAAAGTAACATTAAGGCTGAACAGACCTGGCCATTGTCCCTCATGAGCTCAGACAGGGGTAGCAACTTGAAAAAAATATTGGGGGGGCCCAGGTACACTGACATAACTGAGCACTTGACGTGGTGTGCACACTGTTGATGGATCTCAGCCAAAACTCTTGCTAAGGTAAAGGTACCCCTGCCGGTACGGGCCAGTCTTGACAGACTCTAGGGTTGTGCGCCCATCTCACTCAAGAGGCCGGGGGCCAGCGCTGTCCGCAGACACTTCCGGGTCACGTGGCCAGCGTGACGAAGCTGGTCTGGCGAGCCAGCGCAGCACACGGAAACGCCGTTTACCTTCCTGCTAGTAAGCGGTCCCTGTTTATCTACTTGCACCCAGGGGTGCTTTCGAACTGCTAGGTTGGCAGGCGCTGGGACGGAGCAACGGGAGCGCACCCCGCCGCAGGGATTCGAACCGCCGACCATGCGATCAGCAAGTCCTAGGCGCTGAGGTTTTACCCACAGCGCCACCCGCGTCTCTTTTGCTCTTGCTACCAGCTGCCAAATCGTACAATTCCAGGACGACGAACAGGAACAGAACTTGCTTGACTAGTAACTTGATTTTTACTTAGCTTTATTATATACAGCTGAGTAAAGCACAGCTTGGTACAAGTTACTGTATACACAGATTAGATTCAAACTTCTTTCCAAACTTCAACACTCCAGGACTCCAACAAGAAAACTGCTTTGTTATTCTGCTTATAAGGAAGAACTTAGCAAATCACCACCTGTTGCTAGGCTTGCTTTATCTCCAAGCAGACTCTCTCATGTACTCCATTTAACTTGGCTTGTTGCCAACCCACTAATTGTTCACTCCAAAAGCTGCTAGAAAACCAAATTCTCAACACACACACCATTTAAATGGTAATGTCCATCAACTTGGGGGGCAGCCTCCTCAAATATTTTATTGGGGGGTGAAGGGACCTCAGCCCCTAAGAGTTTGCTCCTATGATCTCAGTGAGCATAATTCTCAGCAATATGCTTGTTTTTCTGTGCAGTACATTTAGCGATTTCTGATTGGGTGAGTCAATATGGAAAGGCTTCGCTGGAGGAGAAAGTCTGAAAACTACTACACTAGAAGTGCAGAGAGGCCTGTAGCTTACATTACCCAAAGTCCTGTCAGTGCGAAATCTTCCATAGTAGAATGTCAGATAAAATCCATGCTTGGAAACACTCAGAGATGATACATGAGTGATTCTATGTCAGAAGTGGCCATGTGTATCTTCCCTATGGATAAATCCCTAGATTCTGGAGATGACTCTTGCATATCGCTGTCAGGAAGATCTAAGAGACACCACTTCCAATGTTACAGTAGAAATGCACACAAACACTTGTGAGTTACTTGTGTGTCCTATGAGGGTGCATTTCTTGTAGCAACCATAAGTTGCCCTTGGGGCCACAATTATGGCATCATGAAATCTAGGAGAGGATTCCACAACTAGATTGGGACTGTGGGAACCAGGGATTTCTTTCAGCCAAAACTCACCAGAGCTCAGCTCCAGCACCTCTCAGGTGGGCACCATTGCCAATCTATGAGAACAAGGGAGAAGTTCATGGTAAGCTCCGGCACATCTTTATCTTGAAAAATATCTCTGGATGGAACTCTTTTGATATTAAAATACCTTGTTGCTGTTGTTTAGTCCGACTCTTCATGACCCCATGGACCAGAGCACGCCAGGCCTGTCTTCCACAGTATTTATAATACCTATTTCCACAGTAAATACTTCCACAAGTATTTATAATACCTATTTGGAATCAAGTAGAAGGACTGGGTCCCAGCATTATGCAGAGAATATTGATGGCCTAATTATATAATATCTAGAGAAATCTCTATACACGTTGGCAAAGGGATATTTCAGGGGAAGAAATGAAAAGTCATTGTTTTTTTAAAAAAATAATAATAATACAAGAACATGTTCGGAGATATTTCATGCTCCTATAGCCTGATCCTAACCATGTTAGCAGGTCTTGATGAAGACTGTCTGGCTAAAACAGTGATGTTCTCTTTTTCATATATTGGGTTTGTTGCTCAGCTGCGTAGACTCAACACAAAGATCAGAATTAGTTATTATAGTGGACTTGCTGCCTGGCTTTGTGGACATTTTCTCTATTTTTGCTGAGTTCAAGTAGATTCATGCTTCAAATCTATGTGCAGTTGGATTTCAGCCCCAATGAAATTAGTAGAAAACTTCCAGGGAATTGTGTTTTGGTACAGGGCCACTAGACCACAAAACAATTCAAATAGTTGGGGGAGCTATTCACACAGATCTATGCCTACAAATTAGTGTGCCATTCTCAGCATCAGCGACTCATTTGGAGCCATTCAGGGATAGCCAGAAGGCTTTGTGCTCCTGTGCAAATTTTCTAGCTGAGGTTATTCAAGCGCATTCAAACTCTGGCATTTGAAACAGGAGATCTCTCCTTCCTCAAACCGTTCATCTCTATTGTTAATTAGCAAAATATTTTTGCATCTATGAATGGAGATATTATATTTTATGCCTTTTGATAAGCAGCAGATTCCCTTGGAAGGGAGCAAAAATAGATAAATATGGATTTGCAATAAGTCATATAACAGTGGAAGCTAGCCTGAAAGCATTCCATTTATGCCACATTACCCTGACTAAACATCCACATTGCATTATGTTGCTTTGCTCCAGAGCAGACACTCAACTCAAATAACCTCACATAATGTAATGTAACATGCCATATTACATATGCTTTATTAATTCAGATAGGCCAAATTGAATGGGGGGGAATCATTTTGTCCTCTTTGGCTAAGGAAGCTCATAAAAAATCAATTTATTGAGTACTCCAGAGCTAAAACATAAGATCTGACAATGTTCAAAACACCTTTGAGGGTGAACAGCTGCAAGAGGAAGGATTTTCAGCAGGTAACAGGAGTGGAGTAAGGGAGCACATTCCAGAATTGGGCTTTTTCTTCAGATAAAAGTGGCCAACGAAAGCATGATCCTTTTTTTAAAAAGTGTGAATACAGAATGTGTACAGTGGTACCTTGGCTCTCAAACTGAATCCATTCTGGAAGTCCGTCCGAATTCTAAAATGTTTGAAAACCAAAGTGCGGCTTCTGATTGGCTGATTGGCCTCAGAAACAATGCCGACAGCCGAAACAGACATTCAGGTTCTGAAAAACCTTCGCAAACCCAAACACTTACTTCTGGGTTTGCGGCGTTCGGGAGCCAATTTGTTCGTCAACTAAGCCATTCAGGAACCAAGGTACCACTGTACTTTGGTCTTATATATATTGTTGAACTATGCACTATAAAACAGTTGGATAATATAGGCATAGGAGGTAGAAAATTCAAGCCTTGACTTGGCCCATGCAAGGAATTTGAGCCTTTTTCTCATAACGTCTTCCTTATTTTTGCCCTGCCAGAAGATCACAATGTAGTGAGCCACACTTACTCCTAGGAATGGTTGCAAATTCCAAGCCAACTCTCACCGCAATTGAGTAGAGTTCATGGTTTGACAGCTTTAACACGTCCAATGAGGCCAATGAACAAGGACCCTGGGGGATGATTCTCGCAAATGTAATAGAACTAACCACAGGAGTGCCTAAAGGATAACATATTGTGTGTAAATGTTAATGGGTTTGTAAGTGTTCTACAAGAGGCCTTCAGTTTCCCATCTATAAAGTGTACTCGGAGATAATGAGGCGCTGGGGTGCAAGGAAGTAGGAAGGAAGCTGAACGTTTCTCATTCATTAACACCAAAGGAACATGGCACTAGATAGCGGCAAAATTCTCAGAGGCCACAGCTTATTTGTAAGTGAAAGTTGGTGTTAGTAATCAACAATTCTGATCGACACTTCCTACCCAAGATCTAAAGTGACTTCTTCTTCCTATTTGGTTGTTTGCAGCTTCTTTTAGAAACTTGGTTGCATGGATTTTACTTTGAGGAAAAATAACAAGGAACAAAAGCTCTTGGCTGATGGCTTCATTTACAGTGGTACCTCAGGTTAAGTACTTAATTTGTTCCGGAGGTCCATGCTTAACCTGAAACTGTTCTTAACCTGAAGCACCACTTTAGCTAATGGGGCCTCCTGCTGCCGCCGTGCCACTCCGGAG